CAGTCCCCACCACGAAATGCTGGGATCCTTGAGGGCTTGAGGGAACGCAACATATTCTCATGACCTATTGAGACCGACAGCAAACCAAGCTGTACAATGCTAATTTCTGAGCATGTGACTTGAATACATCTCCTTCTGCAGCCGGTTGCGCTGCCGGAGATCGGCAGTTCTGCTCCTGCCTCATTCCATGCAGGGTGCCGTAGCGCAAGCGGATGAGTTGGGGAAGTCGGGCGAGAAGAGCTGTGACTGGAAGATGAGGCTGGTGGCCAGGGGCCTGGTGGTTCTCTTTGGTGGCAACAGGAACAAGTAAGCAAGAGTTACGAGGATCCATCAAGCCATGGAGCTGGAAGAGGGCTTTCCTACCTACTACCGCCTTCACATCACCAGCCACGTGCCCCCCCGTTGCCTTGCCGCTTCAATGTTGTAATCCAATGCTCTTTCAGAAGCCAAGTTCGGGATCCTTCTGGTGATGCTTATCAAGGGTCGGATTTGTAGATCAAAAGCCCGAAGCCATGAACCTGTCAAATCTAAACCCAAACCCGCATAAGCCCTAGACACTGAATCTTCGTACCGTGAGCCCATTTCGAAGGCTTCGACTGGAATTACAGGCCAGGCGCCGGGGAGAACCCTCTGCCAGGAATGCGGGATTCCGTCTGCATCGCACCCCTCAGCATTTTGCAGGGTGAGGCCCAAGGATGAGTGACTGGATACACAGGTAGGCCTAGAATCCAACGACCCCGACATAAATTCCACACGTATGTGCTGCACGTGGGACTTACCACCCCATTATCCATGATATCAACCAAAGCTTTCCTGCAAGGGAGATTAGCAATCAGTGGTGTGCACGGATGGGTCGTTGGCGGATTTTGGGTATAGAAAATCGGGGCTCAGGACCAAGTCTTCAGAGGCAGACATAATAGTCGAATGAGAAGGATGTGGTGGATTGTGGGAACTGTGCTATGAACTTCTATATAATAGGAAATGATTCCCGCTAATTTGTCAGGATTCAAAATGCAACGTGCCGTCTGCTTGAGGTTTGGGCTTCCTGTGAGGAGCGTAGTTTCGCATCAAAAACTGGGGTGGACAGTGCTAGACTGTGCTTGGATGGGTGCGAATTGAGTGGTTCTGGGCTCTCGCGCAAAGTGTATGGGGTTGTTGAGGCCAGGGCCATTAGATCATTAGATAAAAAACGCCTTAGAAATGCCATGCCGTCATCATGTCCAGAAACTCACTGAAGCGTTTCCTACTTGATGATTTCTTTGCACTGCAGGTTCCTCCAACACCTCAGAATAACCGACAGAACTTCCAAACGTGGCAAAAGCTGTTGGAAGACAGCTGGATGCATAAAGCAGTCTTCCAACAGCAGTTCCACGGGTGCTCGCAAGAGATCGGACAACAGTACCCCCTGAATGAGCCTGCACCCCACACCGTTACCCAGCATAAGCCGTTTGCAGGGCCAGGGGTCTGCTGGAGCGATGACTTCTCGATGGGCCTGCCAGCTCCTGGCAGCTGGGTGCCATTTCTTGGCTTAAAGTACTCGCAAGCTCAAGCCCCAAATCCCTTAAAACCCCCCCCCGCCGCCCCAAGCCCTGAACCTCAAACCACAACACTCAGCGCTTAGGGGCAAACTCTCGGCTCCAGGCTTACGTTCTTGGCCGTTCACGCCCTTCACTACAGAAACATGAGATAAATGGCTAACTGTCAACCCCTGACCCCAAATCCCAGCAAAGCCCACAAAGTAGAGTGCGAGCTGAGCGACTGTCCAGAAGGCCTTATAGCCTCATAGCTGTCACACATAGGATGTCGATGTGGTCCACTAACCTGGGGGTCAACATCGGTGTAGTCTGCCGAATGTTAGCATTGCAGCTTCGTTCTGGCTGGGTAGCTACAAGTACGATGAGTTGAGGACCCCTACAAACCCTACAGCAGGCAGAGTCATGCTGCTTGCCATGCGCAAAGAATTACATATTGAAACTACAGTAATTCAACGTTCTGAAGTTCTGGACCATGCTACCAGATTCGAAGTGCCAAATGTTGAGTCAACCTGTCATTGCCGTACTTGAGCGGCATTACTAGCTGTGCAGAGGGCGAGGAAAGTCAACACACCCCATGGGTGCTGGGCTTGACATTACGGCTTCAACATGTGTCTCTTGCCAACCTGCACTGATAGCCACAGTTCTGAATCATGGTTGAACCCAGCCCCTCTACACCGACAGGAGAAACGTGAGGCATGGCTGTGCCTTAGAAGTCCACACAGCGTGCCATCAAGACTATGTACATTGGTGTGCTTGGTGGTAGAGGCTGCGGGCCCCCAAATTACTGGGTGCTAGAAGGGAAACGCCCACACCACTCACTCTGGTGCCAGAATAGAAAAGCCCACACCACGCTCTCTAGACCTTGAAGAATCTTCCAAGGAGCATGTTCATGTGGTCCGTGTGCTGCATCATGGCCATGATGTTGTAGAGGCCTTGGCAACGCACATGCGCTGAAGGTCTGGGGAGTCTTCAACCATAAGCCCCAAGCTCGAACTCTGAAGTCCACAAGGTTGGTGTTTCAGATCAGGGCTCAGGGTGTACACTTGCGCTGTTGAACAAGAAATCACGTGCCACTGCAAGGAGCCAAAAGAAACATGGCCTGCAACTTGAAACACATCTCTTGTGACTGAATCCACCCTGGATGCCTGCTCATGTGCCCTTTCCATAGAAGGCGCGCTACATCTCTTGCGAGTAAGCGACAGACCCAAACACAGAATTATCACCCATCAACCCTAAAATGCCGCCTTCTCCTACTACCACTCCATTTGGAGATTAAGTTTAGCGTTTAGGTTTACCTGGACCCTGGATGTCCTTCCTTTTCTGGGCTCTGTCCGACATCTTCATGGGCCATATCCCAGAAAGGTAGGACATCCAGGGTCCAGGTAAGGCAAGGGTTCAGGGGGTTTCGTGTCGGTTCGCGCAGCTTCAGCAGTGCCTCATGGTTTGGGCTTCTTTAGGGTTCAAGGCTTGGGTTGTTGCGGCTGTTGGCTTGGGCTTCTTTAGGGCTTAGGGTTCTTTAGCGTTTGCGACTCTTCATTTGTCCGGGATTCTCTGAGGATTAAGGCGATGGATTCTTCAGGGCTTATAGGCCTTGGGATACTCGTTTAGAGCCTGCAGCTATCGTTGGGTCCCAAAGCACGCAAGCCTTCGAAGCCCTCACAAAAAAGCTAGCAGCTCTCAGGCCCTTGCAGTGAGCTGGAAGGAAGCTTTGCGGCCTCGTTCAGGGGTGGGACCCTCCCATGCGTCCGGATACAATTGCAGATCTTCCGCTGAAAATGAAGACGCCATACTCTATGATGATAGGGTATGTTGGGATGTCATGTTTTAGGACCTTGTAGTGGGCTGCAAGATTTAGTTAGCGCATGGGAGGAGTAATTTTCAAGCCTGGCGACGAGTTCATGACCAACTTTTTGCAAGAGACGAAAGGCTCAAGTCGCTGCTCAAGGCGACCGGACGGAAGGGGGGAGTGCTACTTCCCAGGCCAGCAGAGAGTAGATTTCAACCTGACAATGACAACCGGACTCCCTGTACTGGTTCCGACCATGCCAGCCTCAAATCGCTTGACAGCCACAGGAAAAGTTCAGCCTTGAGCGGTGGGCCGACTAAGGCTTGGAGTTTATTGCATGTTTAGAAAAACAGTATGGGGCCTGAGGACGAAGGCTTCCAGCCAAACTGAGGGTTCTGCCTAGGTTTGGCCTTGTAGAGTTGGTTTGTATGGAGTCTATATCAGGGTTTCCCAAAATTAATGGGTACCATTTTGGGGGTCCCCATAAGAGGGATAGTGTGGGGAAGATATACGGGTCCCCCCATTTATTGAAACTGCGATGTTTGTTTAGAAGAGGTTCCATGTTGCACTTCGCACTCCTACAGCAACATGTCACCACTGCTGTATTGCCCTGGGCCATGCCTCAACATGACCGCCTGTGTGCAAAATTGTTATGGGGTGGGTGAGCGGCTAATGGTTTGTCCAGTCGTCCAACCACAGGTTCAGAAACCAACCAGGGATGCGCAGACAAACCGCTTCTATTTCCTGTTGACGGTTCTGGCATCGCATGACCCCTGAAATTGATTTCATCATATGCCCATCAGATCCTACAAGGTTGTATATGCATCAACGACATGACACGAGGCCCAGCCGTCATGCGGTCAGCTAGTGAGATTCACGGAGACCCTTCCCACATGCCAACGATGATAACGAGAAGAGCCACGTGCAAATGGTGCAGATTGAAGGGTGTAAATCTGGCGCTTCAGCACAAGTATACTCTTGTCCCAACACTCCGCGACGCACAAACCAAATCATTGCTCAACACGCATGAGGGGAATTCATTGCATGTCACAAATCTTGCAAGCTGCCTCAGGCCCCTAATGCCGTCCGCCTACCTTTGGGGGCCGTGTTGCATCTTCCTAATAACCAATCAATCAAACCAACTACCGAACCATCCCCCCCCCCACATTAGATGTCCCATATGGGCATTGAGCCGGGTATTGCTGTGAGATTACTCACAAAATTCTGAGGCCGAGACTGCGGGCAGAACCTGTTGGCAGGGGAAGTGCGGTCTGCACCCAGATTAGGTGCCCTTCCCGGGGAGCTACTGCAGGATTTAAGCTGGCAGGGCTCTAAGTTACACTTAGAGACCGTCTGCGACACAAGCTCTCAACACAAAACACAACATGGACCTCACGGCCTCCCTGGCAACCGGTTGCCATGCACGAAAGAAGTCGTCTAGGGCCAGTCTAGGGGCCTTCAGGGATTGGTGTTGTTCAAGCTCAGCGGGCGGAGGGTTGCAGAAAATGTCAGGGGTGTGAAATCCTCCTTCCCGCAAGCCCTTCACGCCAGGTACGACCGCAAGGACATTTTGGCTTCAAGCAAAAGAGCCGACCTGTCGAGCTCCAGGCGGGGCTGTAGCGACTTTGTAACTGGTAGCGCGGAGCTACTGTGCTCCAGCCTAGGTAGGCTAGTTCCAGGGTTGTGCCATGAATGGCGCGGATGAACGAGGGTTGAAGAGATTCAATGGAGAAGACGATGATGCTGGCAAACAACTGCGAAAGTGGAAACTGTGGGCCCAGGCCAAGATGGCCACTATGAAGGACTTTGCTGCAAAGCAGCAGGGTCCATGGATCTACACGCTTCTGGATGGCAAGGCCTTAGAGGCCGTTGAACACCTCACACTCGAAGACATGACCAAGGACTCGGGTGCTGAGACTATCTGGAAGCTGCTAGACCTGCGTTTTCTGGAGCGGGCTTCAGAGGATCAGATGGGAGAAGCGCTTGGTGAAGTCTTCGGTTTGTGTGCTAGAGAAGGGGAATCCATGCAGCAGTGGGCCGCCAGAGCGCAGGAGGTTTTTCAGAAGTGCCGCCGAAAGGCGGAAGTTGAGTTTCCTACTGCCGCCCAGGGGTGGATCGCCCTGAACTGTGCTGGGCTTAGTGAGGAACAGAAAGCGATCGTGAAGGCGAAGACGCAGGGCAAGCTTGAGCTGCCAACCGTGACGTCTGCTTTGAGATCGTGCTTTCCGCAGTACCGAGCTGGTGCGAAGGCTAAAAAGCCCGTGGCGACTCTGCTGGTGGACGACGAGAACATCGATGAGGTTTCGGAAGACGGAGATCCCGAGGCCTTTGCCGATGTGGAGGCGTTCCTCGCTGACAACAACCTAGACGACCACGTGGGCGACGACGAGCTGCAGGAACAAGATGCGGCTGAAGCTCTTGCTGTTTCGTGGAAAGAGCGCAGGCGAGAGATTTCCAAACTACAACAAAGCCGTCGCTTTGGTGCGGCTACAGCTGCACGCAAAAGCTTCAGGGTAGAAATTGAAGAGTTGAAGCGTCGCACCCGTTGCAGACGCTGTGGCAAGTTGGGCCATTGGGCCAAAGAATGTCGGGCCCCTGTTCAGATCAAGCCCCGACACGCAGACAGTGGCCAGTCTGGCGCCAGCAGCTCGCAGCACCACGCGAGCGACGTCAACTTGGTTCAGGACGAGGCCTCCTTTGACCACGAGATCACCTTTGTGGGCATGATCGAGAACCTGTACACCCAATCCTCAAGCGAGGTGTGCACGGCTGGCCTGGTATTCAGGCTATGGCGTGGTTGACTCCGGCTGTGGCCGAACTCTCATTGGCCAGGAGACCCTGCTGGCGCTGACGCAGAAGCTGGCCACCAGGACCAAACTGGTTCCGGTGGAGTACCACTCAGACAGCAGCTTTCGCTTTGGAAATGGAGCCACCGAAGAGAGCAATCGAGCCGTTCGCATTCCTGTCGGAGTGGGACGCAAAGTCGGGACCATCGACGCCGCCATCATCTCTGGACGCGCTCCACTTCTGTTGGGGCGACCAACCCTAGAGAAAATGAACATGGTGCTCGATTTCGGAGGCCGCAAAATGCGGTTCCTGGTTCAGGATGCCCCGATCCCCATGCACACCAATAGCGCCGGCCAGCTCCTCATCGATGTGCTAGACTTTCCCGTGTCTAAGGCAGGGGCCAGCAGTAAGGATAAGCCACAAGGGGTTCAGGGTCAGGGTGAGCATAAGGGCTCTTTGGTTGAGGTTTTGCCTGTAGGTATCAGCGAATCCGCGCCAATCCCCAGTGTGCAGCCTCAAAACCAACGAGACCTTGTAGAAATCTCTAGTCCCAACATTCCTGACCCCAAGATCCTTCCTGATGATGTTCCTACCCCGGTACCGGGTATCAGTAGGACTAAGCCCCCTAAGTCTAAGATCACCCTTAAGAAAAAGGAGTGTAGTGCCTCCTCTCCCAGTGGACTCGACATGCCAACGACCAGGATGCGCAAATTGCTGTTGCAGAGTTGTTCTCCGAACCAAGGCTGTCGGAGGAGGCCTGTCGACATGGTGCATCGGGGGTGGCATTTGACATCAAACAGGGTTGTGATCTTACAGATTCTCAGACCCAGAAGGAAGTAGATGAACTTCTTGATCAAGCACGTCCTAAATCCCTAACTGCCTCACCCCCGTGTACGTACTGGGGCGGATGGGATCACCTCAACAAGTGCCACAGGACGCCTGTGGAAAGAGCACGCCTGATCCGAATTGCTCGCAGGCAAGTGAAATTCAGTGTTGAGCAGATCCACAAGCAGCTGCGAAGGGGTGGGGATTTTCTCTTAGAGCATCCCATAGGATCTAGCATTTGGAAGGAACCTGCCGTTAGGGAACTTAAGCGTAAGTATGGGTTTCACAGGGTTGATATGCGTGCTTATGGACTTAAGGACCCCAAGTCAGGTAGACATCGCAAGGGTACAGGGATCATTTGCTCCAACCCCGCTTTTGCACAACACGTCCGCACATGTCCCGGCAACCATGTTCATGCAACCGTGTCAGGTAGTGATTTGTGTCAGCATGCTGCCAAGTACACTCCGCAGTTTGTCAGGGCAATGTGGACATGTCTAGTCCCCCCGCCGCAAGAGCCGGCGGCCAGTCGGTTAGACTGGGAAGCGTTAGGGTGTGAGTGTCTTGCTGGGGAAGCTGAAGAGGATTTAGAGCATCCTAGTGTTGCCCTCTTAGGACCCGAAAACCAAGAACCCAGTGAGCACCCTAACCCTGCCGAAGAGGTACCGCGTGAGCCTCAGAATCCCGAACCGGAGCGTCCGGATGCTGAGACCCGTAAAGTAGATGCAGCACTGCGTAAGCTTCACTGCAATCTCGGGCATCCGTCTCACAAAGACCTCACCCGAATCCTCAAGCACAGCAAAGCATCAGAATTGGCCTTAAGCAGAGTTCAGCATCTGGAGTGCTCTGCGTGCGCCAACAATCAGAGGCCTACTCCTGCCTTGCCTGCAAACACCACGCGGGTGTGCCAGTTCAACGAAAAGCTGGGGCTTGATGTTAAATACCTACCGAGGTGGAATCCTGGACAGAAGGTAGCATGTGTTAATCTTGTTGACTATGCATCCAGCTTTCAAGTTATGGTTCCCATAGGACGCAGAGAGACGGGCGAGTTGCTACGTCAAGCTCTTCTTGACAAGTGGTTGGCATGGGCCGGTCCTCCCCAAGCTTTGCGTTTGGACCCAGCACGTCCCAATTTGGGCAACATGCTCAGTGACTTTTGCAACAACCACGGCATTGCTGTGGAGCAGACGCCTGCTGAGGCGCACTGGCAGCTGGGGAAGGTGGAGCGGCACGGACAGTGGTCTCAAAGGATTCTATCTAGGGTCTTAGATGAGGTTAAGCCTGCTAACGAATCAGAGTGGGTCACGTGTTTAGTGCAGGCTCAGTCTGCCAAGAATACTCTCATCTCCGAAAGCGGGGCAAGTCCGTATCAGTTTGTGTTCGGGAGAAACCCCCGGGTGCCTAGTGACCTACTCCAAGAATCACCTGACATCGCCGCCTCAGATGCCGTGCTTGCTGATGATGCTATGCAACAGGCAAATGCTGTTCGCCAGTCCGCGCGACGCGCGGTGCTAGAAGTGCAAGATGATCGTGCCCTTCGTGCTGCTCTGCGTGCACGTCCTAGAGTAGCCCGACCTTTTTCCTCAGGAGATTGGGTGTACTACTGGAGGACTCAAAAATCTGTAGAGGGCACTCGTATCGAAGGTGGTCGTTGGTATGGGGCTGCTTTGGTCTTGGGACATATAGGCAAAAACATTGTTGTTGCGCACAAACTGAGCATCATGCGATGTGCTCCGGAGCAGTTGAGGCATGCCACCGCAGAGGAACAGGCCGTTGCTACTTTCCCCCACAACGACCTTCTAGGGATCAAAAATCTCCTTGAACGAGGCCAGTCCCCCAAAAGTCAGTTCGAAGACTTAGTGCCTCAGCCTCATCCTCCTGCGCTGGACGAGGGAGCAGAGCTCCCCCCCTCCACCTCTGAATGAGCCTTTGGATGCAGCACAGCGCTTGCAGCCAGAGCAGCAGCAACACTCCCAGTCAAGTGTTCCAAGCGGCGCAGCACCTACTGAGCCTGCGTTAGGTTCAGAATCCCGAACATCTGGCCCTTACTCAACGGTCAGACACGAGCGCGCTGAAGAGACCGAGCCCGTGTATGGCCCGGTACGTCGGTTGTGCTCCATCAGAAGTTCCCCTAGTCCTTCATCCTGATGAGTTTGCTGAGATGATGCAAGAGGTTGTCCCTAGATTGGTGCAAGCCACGCCAGACAGCGCAGGAACCTCAGAGCCCTCTGCTGCAACCGCATCGGTGCCTAACAGTCCCCGGGGTCTGGCTCAGAAGCGTCCGGCCAGCCGTGACGCCAGTCAGGAGCCGGAGCGTCGGCCCCTTTTTTCTGGGGAGTCCGATGAAGCTCTCACTGTTGAAGAAATGCAAATGTATGCTCCCATGAGAAACAGTTATGTTGAGGTGCTCATGGCAGGGTTTCTGCAAAAACGCACGCAGAAGGAACTCCCCGTCACTGGCAATGCCCCAGAGCTGCAGGCACAAATTCAGGACGCCAAAGCCTTAGAGTGGGACACAGTTGTCGGCAAAACCGCCGTGAAGGTCCACAGAGGGGCCAAAGGTCGTCAGATACTCTGCAAGTATTCCCACCGCTTGTTCTCGCTTTGTAGTCACCCGCAAATCCGATGAGGACGGTGATCGAATCAAGGCTCGTCTGTGTCTTCAAGGTCACTCTGACCCCGACTTCCATGCCAAGTTGGAATCGGGCCTGTGTCACTCGCCCACGCTCAGCCAACTGGGCCGGGCTGTGCTGTTGCAGCTGTTGGTGTCTCATCACTGGACCCTTAATCTAGGCGATATTAAAGGAGCGTTTATGGAGGCCGGTCCATTGCGCTTTCGTCCTCTCTTTGCGAGGCAACCGGAGGGCGGAATCCCTGGCATTGGGCCAGACAACGTTCTGGAAATCACTGGTAATCTCTATGGCAGCAACGACGCTCCTCACCAGTGGTTCCGCACCTTCGATGCCGAAGCTCACGCTGCCGGCTTTCGCCGCAGTGCTTTTGACAGCTGCCTCTACTTTTTCCGTGGCCAGAGCGGCCAGCTTCAAGGCGCCCTAGGTGCCCATGTAGACGACACCATGACCGGAGGCCGCGGTGCTGAATACGAAGCCGCTGTGGCTAGGTTGAAGGCGCGATTTCCTTATAGAAAGTGGAGGGTAGGCAGCGGAGAATTTTGCGGCACCATGTACACTCAGGACCCTTGCACGTATGAGATTTCATTCCAGCAGTCAGAGTACGCTAAACACATTCGCCCCATTGCCATGACTAGAGAAAGGCGTAGTCAGCGAGAGTCTCTTGCCACAGAAAAAGAGGTGAACGCCCTGCGTGCTGTGAACGGCGCAGCAGGCTGGCTCAGTGGCCAATCTCGGCCAGATCTAGCTGCACAGACTTCGTTTGCACAACAAGCTTTTCCTGCACCCAAGGTCAGCGATCTCCTGTATGCCAACCAGCTAGTTCATAGGGCACGGCAACATGCAGATGTAAGCATCACAGTCAGAGACATCGCTCCAGAAAAGCTTGCTGCGGCCTTCCACTCGGATGCTGGCTTTGCAAACGCTACTGCGCACAAGACACAAGCCGGGTACATCCTAGCCTTCGTGGATAGAGACCTCAACAATGATAAGGAATCCCCGTACTCCCCATTTTCCTGGAAGAGTTATAGGCTCCCTAGGGTTATAGCCTCAACCTTAGCCGGAGAAACGCAAGCGTTTGCCACAGCCAGTGGTGTCGCCGAGTGGGTGTCCCTCATGCTCGTAGAGGCCCGTGACGGACCCTTCGACCTCAGGATCCTCGTGGCTGACGGAAAGCTAACCTCGGCTCTCTGGGCTGCCGCTGGCCGGCGCCTGTCGGTAGTATACCGACTGCAAGAGCCTTTACGATGCCGCACATGCAGTGTCCCCTCCGTCGAAGCTTGACGACAAGCGGGCTGCCATAGACCTAGCGATAGTGAGGCAAAGCATAGAAAGAACAGGTATGCATCTAAGATGGTGTCCTACTGAACTAATGGTAGCAGACTCCCTCACCAAAGACCAAGCAGACCCTGCCGACTTGCTTCGAGCAGTGCTGGCGCATGGCCAGTACCACCTGTCTCCAGAAGCTACCGCGCTGGAACAAAAGAAGCAGCAAAGGGCCGCACGAGCCCGACGTCAGTGGCAGGATGCTGCCGCCAGCTAGGTGCTTTGCCAAGGGTTTTGCATGAGACAGGGTGACTGTTAACTAGTCGCGAATTTGGGTTTATCTTTAGTCAAGTAGGGGTTAATGCTTGACTACCGTAAATGAGTCCCTCTGTGAATACCTCAGAGTGAATGCGACCACCTTCCTACCGGTGGTGCTCTTGTGTCAAGTTTGTTTGTGCATCCAGCCTCATTTGTGTGCTTTGCCGCCTTCGGGGTTCCTGATCTCGTAGGGTGATAGTCCCACATCCTCGTAGTCTTCCTGACCTGTGTTGCTGGCATGGCCTCCTCTCGCTCGCCTACTGAGTCTCAGCTTCAGGCCGTGATGGCACGTGCTCAGGCTGAGGGACGCTCAGCAGAACTGCTGCATCGAGGACAGCTTCGAGCCCCGCGACCTGCAGGCCATGAGTGACAGCGCTCTTCGGGCACAAGCTGGGACGACGCCGTGATCATCCCGGGATCGTCAAGTACGTCAGGGAGTCCGGCTCCTTCAACGGCAGCTCCCAAAGCCTATCAGGCCGTGATCCGCCCTGCAGCTGGCAGAACTCTGCCACCAGGAATCGCCAGCGTCGACCAGTGGGGCGCCACACTTTGTGAGCTTCCCAAGTTCAAAGCCAAGCAGTGGTCCTACACCGAGATGGTGACGGCTGCTTTCGGCGACCCCGAAGTCATGACCTACCTGACGAAGTTCATCCTTCGTCATAACGGACCGAGCCCGAAGGTGAAGGACCTTCGTGCCTACCTCGAGTACATTGACTTCCCCAAAAATGCGATGGGCAGGATCCCGGAGGGCACGTACGTCATGCCAAGAAAGTTCAAGTCCTAGTGAGCCCCTGAGTTCGAGTTCTTGAGTTCGCTCAGCTTATGAGGATCATTCTGTCGGAGTGCAGAATCGGATCCATGAATCTTTCCACCCTGAGCTTCCAATACACGCT